CAGATTTAAAGGAATAGTGGAAAATAAATAGTTGATTTATGATTCTGCTCTGTGAGTCACATATAGTCAGGGTATGGCAGAGAGAGTCTCACTGGTGAGTAATTGATGATGCAGCTCCAAACATGGGATCAATGACCAAGGGAGCTGCTGTGGTTTGAATGTGTCCCTTGCTACCTGCCAAGAGCTGGAGACTTAATCCTCAATGCAGTAGCCTTAGGAGGTGCGGCCTCGTCAGGAATGGATTAGTGCTGATTTCCAAAGGGCTGAGGCTGGGAGTTTGGCTATTCTCTCTCTCTCTCTCTCTCTCTCTCTCTCTCCTGCCTTCTGCTACGGGATGACACAGCGGGAAGGCCCTGGTCAGCAGCCACTCCACCTTGGACCTCTCAGCCCCCAGCGCTGTCTGTTGTCCACTACTCAGCCTCAGGTATCCCGTCACAGCAGCACAACATGGGAAAAGACAAAGGCCAAGAAGTCCTGAGCCTGCGCCCTGAGTCCAACCAGGCACGATTCATGGGGACCCCGTGCAACACCGGTGCCTAGGACCAGTGAGCACTGGGTACCTGCAGCCCTGGGAGCAGGAGGCCAGATGAAGACGGGTGAAGATGAGACGAAGGGATAATGCCCCTCCCCCACGGCCTCAGCAGTGCATCCGTGCAGCCCCCAGCCCCAAATTCAGCTTCAATGTGAAACACAAGGTGGACGAGGAGGAGATAATCCTGAATGGGACTGGTTCTCAATCTAAAGGGGCTAGGAAGTCACAGAATTTGACTTTGTTTATCCGAATGGGCCTGGATTAAGCAGCTGGGGACTCAGAGGTACAAATGAAATTGTTCTAGAAAAGGAGGTCATTTGGGGGAACTACGCTCATGACTTTGAAATCTGTACTCACCATAAACCTAAGGCAGATGCCCGAGTGCTATAGGTGGGGATATTCTTTTCCTCTCCTCTTTCCTTCCCAGTCCCAGAAGGAACTGCTAACCCATATTATGGGATCATTCCTATTCTCCCTTTAAAAATTAAACTTGTATTTTGAGATAACCACAGATTCACAGGCATTTGATATTTGTAAGAAATGATACAGGGAAATCTCGGGTTCCTTTTACCCAGTATCTTCCAATGCTAATGTCCCGCAAATATACACAAATTACAGCCAGGATATTGAGAGCCATACAGGCATGCTATGGAAGGTTCCATCTAAAGCGAGGTTATGCTTGGGGCCCAGATGCTGAGCGCACATGAATGCAATGGTTTTGTGTACTATAAAGAGAAGGCTCTGGAATAGATATCCACCCACGGGGACACAGCTGAAATGAGACCTCTCTCCAGAGCAGAAGGCAGAGGCAAAAGAGCCCTCCCTCGGGCAGCAGGGCCACAAGCAATTCTTTATCTTCTTGCTCAGCGTGTGCAAAGTCTAATGGAGTCACCTCCACAGAGATCATCAGAGCTCTGTGATAATGGGGGGTTGGGGGCAATTTTCCAGGAGTGAGCTGAGCTGAGGGGACAGTCTCCATGAGAAAAGTCCTGTTATATCAGATGTCTGTGAGGACACAATTGGAGCAAGGTGGCATCTTCAGGCTGAGCTGTGGAAATTCAATATCAACCCTCTCCAAAGACACGAGCTTTCTTGATCCTCCACTCGGTCTCCCCTGGTCCAATATGGTGCACACCCAGACCCCGGTCATCATCTTGAGCCTGTGAGGATGTGCAGGTTGCCCTGTGGACTGACCTACAAAGTTCAGGACGATGATAGTGGAAAAGCACCATAGTGCTATCTACTTCTGCCGTGCTTCAAAGAGGAATAAATGGGGCTGGACTAGGCCACACACTTGGTTAGAAACCACATCAGGATGAGAAGTCAAGTGGTCCCACTCTGTGTCCTGTTCACCAATCCAAATAAAATCAAATGTTTTAGTACAAAATTCTGTTCGCAGCCTCCCTGCGCCAGGGTTGCTCTCTAAAGCAGCCTCTCGCTGGCCGAGCTCTAGCTAAAGGAGAAGGCAGGTGAGTAAGACCCTCTGCCTACAGTGGCGGGCACAAAGCAGGCTTCCCGCAATTCGACCGTTGGTAAAGCACCCAGGAAATGACTGACTATAAAAGGGCACCCTCTCCTCATTGTTACAGACTGGGTAAGTAACACTCTGGGAACTCAGACATTATCAGGAGCCCACTGAACCTCTATTCAAAAACTCCCCTTCCAGCGTCTGGGGTGAGAAATTGCTCGGAACTTTAAAACAGATCTGTGTCTCCAGAGCACAGGTACTTGTGCTTTGCAGGAGGCAGGCGAGGCTTCCCTGGCTGGCGTTTTTGAGACACCAACCTGTGTGCTATCCATGCCAAACAGGTAACAATTAGGGCAGAAGACATCTAACTTGTACACAGCATTCATGAGAATGTGCTTAAGGATTCATTACCACAAGAATCACTTAATTCCTGAAAACATTCTTTTTTTCTCTTCCTAATGTTGGTAGTTCTAAGTGTTAGATGTTTTTTACCCATGGGATCGAAAGGTACCTAAGTATATAATTGTGAATGGGATGGATAATAGGGGATGGATAGCGGATATGGGTTCATTTGTGTGTCAATTTTTAATATAAATGCAGGATGTAAAGCACTAATATAACTCAAAAGGTTTCAGTGAACAAGTTTCAGCAGTTCAATTTTATAAACAATAATAAATAAAAGTGTTAAATTTTTCTGGATAATGCCAGCATTTGGATTTTTTTAACAGGTGAATTTCTTATTGATGGTTTTGGTAGCATTTTTATCATATCGTAGATTCCGTCCATTCACTATGCTTCCTGAGTTGTCCTACTTGGTTAGAAACCAGTGTGTTTTCAATGGTGTTTTTCTTCTGTGATGTTCCCACAAGAGTCTGCTATTAAAATACATTAAGCTATGAAAAAATTTCTTGCTATAAATCACGACCAAGGGAGCACCATCAATCAAAAAGGCAGACAGACATGCCAGAAAGCCACTGCCCTACCTTGCACTTTCCAGGGGCTTTTGTGGATTCTCTGGCCAAGAAGGGTCAAAAACGTCAGTTAAAAACATAAAAGCAGCATAACAAGAACATATTTGCATCTCAGTGGATTTCCCTACAAGATGGGTGGGTTTTTTTGGTACTGGGAATTGAACTCAGGGACACTTGACCACTGAGCCAACCCCCAGCCCTATTTTGTATTTTATTTAGAGACAGGGTCTCCCTGAGTTGCTTAGCACCTTGCTTTTTTGCTAAGGCTGGCTTTGAACTCGTGATCCTCTTGCCTCAGCCTCCTGAGCCGCTGGGATTACAGGCATGCACTGGGCTAAGCTGTTTTTGTTGTTGTTGTTTTTTTTTAATATTTATTTTTTACATGTAGTTGGACACAATATCTTTATTTTATTTTTATGTGGGGCTGAGGATCGAACCCAGGGCCTCACACATGCTAGGCGGGCACCCTACCACTGAGCCACAATCCTAGCCCCCCAAGCTGGTTTTTGATGAGAGGTTAAAGTTAGGAACACAGACTCGGGAGCCAGACTGCTTAGACTCAGACAGGCTCCAGGTCTTACTAGCTGTATGACCTTGGGCAAGTTAACCTCTGTGTCTTGGTTTCCCCATCAATAAAAGAGGGATAATAGTATCTACTTCATAGGTTGTTATGAGGATTAAGCAACAGTCTTATCATATTATTTTACATGTATATGTTAATTAGAACAATGCCGGACACACAGTAAACTCTACAGCAGAGTCACCTACTGTGAGTGAATATCAAGGTCTTCTTTTCTTTGGATGTGCCACAATTTACTTGGCCAATCCCCTATTATGGTGTATTTGGGGGCCTTAATTTTTTTGGTGTTATCCAAAAGAGGATAAATTCTCAGTAAACCATTTGGAAATAAATGTCTACAATAATCTACTTATGAGTCCCATTGGTCAGGTGGGTGCTATTTCCTTCTCATTCCTTTGATGGCAGAGAAGGTTAGGAAACACAGAGTCCAGTTGGGTGGCCATGTAGCCTGCTAATACCCATGGGCAGTTCTGTTATTGAAGGAAGAGGACCAGGCTTGCTGGAGGATAAGAGTCCACTGTGCCACAGTTGCTATGCGCCAAGTGCATGTGGGATCCTTAACACCCATCCTCCCCCGAGACTACAACTCCATGGGAGGTGGTTAAACCACATAACCACAGGACTTACCTTACGCAGTCATACTTCAGTAGACGGACATTTTTGGCAGGGGGGAGGGGGTGGTACCAGGGATTGAACTCAGGGGCACTCAACCACTGAGTCACATCCCAGCCCTATTTTATATTTTATTTAGAGACAGGGTCTCACTGAGTTGCTTAGCGCCTTGCTTTTGATGAGGCTGGCTTTGAACTCGCAATCTTCCTGCCTCAGCCTCCCAAAGCCACTGGAATTACAGGTGTGTGCCATCGTGCCCAGCATAGGAGTAGATGGACATTTTTTTAAAAAGATAAATTTTTGCCATCCTTTAACTTTCAAACTACATCAACTGGTTTTAGATACAGTAGTTTTTGTAGATCATACATTGGTCTGAGTATTTTACTTTATTTTTGGGGAAGAGGAATTTAATTCAGGGGCAGTATACCACTGAGCCACATCCCCATCCCGTTTTATTTTTTATTTTGAGACAGGGTCTTGCTAAGTTGCTAAGGGTCTCACTAAATTGCAAGCCTTCCATCTCTGCTTCCTGAGCCACTGGGATTACAGATGTGCACCACCATGCCTGGCAGACTTAGCTTTCTAAATCATCATTAAACTACTTCTGACTTCTATGTGGCAGTTCAATTTATTCTTATTATTTGTGATAACTTATGTTTGGTTTCTTTTCAGTTTTCCTTCTTGAGGTCATTACACTTTGTTTTTGTTTCTTTTTCACCTACTTTGCTTTTTCTATCTTCATCAGTGTCCATTTTATTATTTTAAAAACCTAAGAGAAATCTCATTAGGAAACAAAGGGAAAACACAATGAAGAAAATCGAGAATGCTAGCCAGAAGGATTCTATTTAATGCTGATATAGCAATGACTTAAATGATTTATGTGTTTACAAAAGGCCCATGATTCATTTTTCTATTAAGAATAGACTATTTTCTGTAATAAGTTTGATATTACCTCTGAAATCTGACTTCTGGTTAAATAACATTTCTACTAGGACGTTTTAATCCATACGCCTTAAAATTATAAATTTTCTTCAACAATTTTAAATACATATTCAAACGTTCTTATGATTTTACTCCTATAGGAATTCTCTGGTTCCCATTGGTTTTATTTGTGAAGACTTTCCTACTTGTGGTGACGTGTCGGGGTTTTGCCTTCAGGTCCTACTGATGTTCAGTGAGTTTGGCTTGTGACTGTAGGTTTCTCCACATGGAGGGTGTTGATAGGAGTTTTCTTCTTGTGTGTTTTCCTTTGATGTTTGGTGAGGGCTGACCTCTGGCTGAAGGTTTTTCTACATTCGTTGCATTCATAGGGTTTTTCCCCTGTGTGAATTCTCTGATGCTTTGTGAGGGCTGACTTTTCATAGAAGGTTTTCCCACACTCAGGGCATCTGTAGGGCTTTTCTCCTGTATGAGTTCTCTGATGCACTACAAGGTTGGATTTCACACAGAAAGATCTCGAGCATTCGTTGCACTTGTAGGGTTTCTCTCCAGTGTGGGTCCTCTGATGTTGGGTCAGGTTGGATTTCACACAGAAGGTCTTCCCACACTCGTTGCATTTGTACGGTTTCTCTCCTGTGTGAGTTCTCTGATGCACTGTGAGGGCTGATTTCTGGCAGAAGGATTTCCCACATTCACCGCATTCATACGGCTTCTCTCCTGTGTGAGTTCTCTGATGTTCAGTGAGGTTGGACTTCACAAAGAAGGATTTCCCACATTCATTGCACTCATAGGGCTTTTTCCCTGTGTGTGTGCTCTGATGTTGAGTAAGGCTCGATTTCTTACGGAAGCTTTCCCCACATTTACCACAGTCATAAGTTCTCTCTCCTTTGTGACCGCTCCGATTTTCAGTGAGGTGTGACTTCCCACTTACGGCTCTTCCACTTTTCTTACTCTCATGAGGTTTTTTCTCCAAGGTTATTTTCTGATGTTGAATGTATATTGACTTCTTGCGGGAGGTTTTTTCACATTTATCACCTTTGTCGTTATCCTCTCTGGTGGTGTCTCTCTGATTTAGAGTGAGGTGGGATTTCCTCTCCAAGGCTCTCTTCCTATCATCACGCTGGCTTGGTTCTGTGGTGTGAGTTCGCTGATGCTTAGTGAGGCATGATTTTTCATGAAAGGATTCCCCACACTCCGTACAACCATAGATCTTCTCTCCTGCATGAGTTTTCTCATCTTGACTGTGGTATGACTTCCTTAAGTCTTCCTCACTTTTGTGACACTCATTAGTATTTTCTCCTGGGCACATTCTCTGACATTGGGTGAGGTTTGATTTCTTGCTAAAGGATTTCCCCAATTTACTACATCCAACATGCTTCTCCTGTATGTTAATTCTTTGATGTGCATCTTTTGGCTTTTCGCATGACAATTTCCCACTTTTCCTGAATTCATGTGGTTTCCTTTCCCCAAGGATCCTCATATCAGAATTGACCTTTAACTTTTGGTTGAAGGTTCGTCTGTATTTGTCACCTTTAGAGGATGTCTCTCCTGTGTGAGCTTTCTCACATGTAACCAAGGGTGTCTTCCTACGAGAGGACTGCCTACAATCATCATGTTCGAGAGGTTGTTCTGGAGATGAACTGTTCTGAATACAGTCCTCATGAGGACTGTGGGGTCTCTTCCTCTGATCATTTCCACGGGGCCTGCTCCTTGTACGCATATTCTCCTGCTTTGTATCAAGGGTCCTACATTCACTGAAATCAGGAGACTTTTTTCTTAAATGGTTTCTATTGCTAATAATTAATTCTGAAACACTTTTTAAGCTTGTTCCAAATGAGTCACAGTTATGAGACGTTTTTCCCGAGGGCACTAGGTTCGTGGTCATCTCTACTGTTTCTTTTAAGATCTTCCTTCCCTCCTTGGGGAGTGTTTTGTTGTGGATAAATCCAGCTGGTCTTGAATATTTGTCTTCATTTTCTTGGCTTTCTTTCATGTCATTGGCTCGCTGGACTTCTAGAAATATGAAAAATTAACCATACATTATACATCTTGGCACCTGTCTGAAGAAAAGGGCTTGTACACAGTGCCCCTGTGCCGAGATGATTCTTGGGTTTCAGGCAGTCTCCTAGGTGGACAGTAGTCCTAAAGCAAATGTTTCTTCTAGTCTTTTGGGTTATATGCAAACAAAGCCAAAGCCACATACTATACTAGAAAAAGAGAGAAAGCTGAAAAAAACATAAGTAGCTTTGGATTGTTATAAACATGACCTCAAAATGGGTAGAGAACTTGAAATAAACACAAGAAATGGTGAACTGGGAACAAAGGATGTCAAGAACATGATTGGTCCAAGGATGGAGGACATTCAAAACATGAGGTAGAGAAGGGGAACCCTGAACAGGAGGCAGGGAGGAAGAGGGTGCCCAAGGGAAACAGCAGAGCAAGGAACAGGCTTGTAGAAGATCCTGATTTCTCTTCCTTTCTACCATAATCACCACAGGAGCATCCTTAATCCATTCTATGTGCTTCCCATCTCTCTCCCCTTCCCAGACTGCACACCAATCCCAACTAAAGTTATGAAGTCACTCACATCCTCAGGTCTAAAGGTCAATCCTATAGTTCAGGCTCTATGTCTCTATACAGCTATGATACGGGAAACAATGTCTAATAAATATTAAAATGGATAAGAGGACAAGCCATGACTATAGCAGGATCCAATCCCCTCCATATTCTGACGAGTGGCACTATCATTCAGTTCTACCAGAGTTAATCAATAGTTATCCATCTGGTGAAAACTCTACTTTCCCTCTTTCAACCCACTGACTGACTTTACCAACTGGTGGTGATCTGTCACACACTGAATTTTTAAATAGACTTTATTTTTTTTAGCATGGTAAAGTGGAATGGAGAGTACTGTCAGTTCCTGCATGTGCCCCATTCCCACATTTGCACAACCTCCCCAACATCAACATCTTCTACAAGAGTGGGTTTTTCCCCTGTGTGAATTCGTTGATGCCCATTCCTAACACTCATAGTTCACAGTTTACCTTAAGGATCACTCTTCGTGTTGTACATTCTGTGGGTTGGGACAGACGTATAATGAGAAGTATCCACCATTATAGTATTATACGGAATAGTTTCACTAAAAATTCTCCATGAATGAATCCTGTTCATCCCTCTCCCAGCCCCTGCAACCACTGATCCTTTTACTCAATAGCTTTGTCTTGTCCAGAATGTCGGACAGTTGGAACCATACAGTGTGTAGCCATTATGGACTGTCTTCATTCACTTCTTGGTAAGTGTTTCAGGTTTTCCCATGTCCTTTGATGCCTTGATAGCTTGTTTTGCTTTAGTGCTGAATAGTTCTATTGTCTAGATGTACTATGTTTCTTTATCCATCCATCTACTTAAGGACAACTTGGTTGCTCCCAAGTTTTGGTGATTATGAATCAAGCTTCTTTATACACCCATGTGCTGGTTTTTGTAATATAAATCTCAACTCCTAACATTTAATGCTATTTTAATGTTTTCCTCTATTGCCCCTCTTTCCTGTGATAACTAAGCTCTTGGTTATTGGATGTGGCCCAGGGCCCTCTATTTACCTTTGTCTTTCTTTGTTGTAAACAATTTAGCTGAGGGTGATTATTATTATCTTCTGTTACTAACATTTTATGAAATAACATTAACTGTATGCTTAAAAACATTTGACTTGGGACTGGGGTTGTGGCTCAGTGGAAGAGCATTCACCTAGCACATGCAAGGCACTGGGTTCGATCCTCAGCACCCACCACATAAAAATAAATAAGTAAAATGAAGGTATGTGTCCAACTACAACTAAAAAAATTTTTTTTAAAAGTCTGGCTTTTCTGTAATAGATAAAACAAATAGAAGTCAATATCCCAACAAAGAATGTGACATTAGATTTTTATGCTTAGATTTTAAACTAGATTCTTACACCTAAATTCACGATACATGCTCATGTGCTTATCCCACAAGTCTACAATGCTGTCAGCTCCTATCAGATCAGGCTAATTCCATAAATTGTTGATTTCCAACTACAAACCTACCTCCATCTTTTCCCTTTATTTGGTACATGTTCTATCCTCTACTTGGAAGCCAGATATCCTTCAGGACAATGCTACTACCCACTGCTTAAAAAACATCCTCACCCCTTTAAGTTCCATTTGTAGTCAAATTTGCATATAAAACTGTCTTCAGAATATATTCTACCATTATTTTCCAGAGTGCTGTATGCATAGTTTTTTTCTCTCTACATCTTCCCAACTTCCATTGCTTTGGCAGCTTTTCCACATTATCATCATCGTTATTTTTACTTTGAGACTTCAGCGGCCTCCAGTCTCCCGTGAAGGTGGAGATGGAGATGACATTGTGTTTTCCTGTTCCTTGTGGCTTCTGGGTGAGGTGAAGAAGGGACGCCTGCTGACGTTACATCCCTGCCTCTGCAGTGGAACTCACTCCTTGCTTCTCGACTCTCTGTCCATGTGGCTTCTGGACACCACTCTGACTCTCCACCTTCATCCTGGATGGATGGGCCTTCTCAGTCTCTCTTGCTAGAGTCCTGTGTCCTCTTGACCTTCAAAGGCTGTGCTTAAAGTGTTGCCCTTGGCCTGTTCTCTCACCTGTGATCTCACCCAGGAAAACTGAAATCTTCAGCAGGACCAGAAGCCTTCCCCAGCTCCCTCTGTCACTCTCTGCTCCTTCTCCTCACTCCACCTGCTCGGTCCCAGGGCTTCCTTGTTGCTTTCTCAAGGACACTTTTGTATCAGAGGCTTGGCCCCTGCTGTCCCTCTGGTCTGGAAATCTCTCTGACCACCCCTGGTTCACTCAAACCCTCCATTCAAGACCCATCCCACTGTTCCTATTCAAATATCCACCTCCTCTAAAAGGTCTCCCTGGCCTCCCTTTCTAAAAGGCCTTATCAGACTCCACGTTCTTCATCTGACTTTAGTTTTTCATACTGCTGACGACTGTCTACCCTATTATATATTTATCTACTAACTAGACAATTTTTTTTTTTTGGTACCAGAGACAGAACCCAGTGATCCTTATCCACTGAGGCACATCTCCAGCCCTTTTTACTATTTTATTTAGAGACACAGTCTTGCTGAGTTGCTTTAGGAACTTGCTAAGTTGCTGAGGCTGGCTTTCAACTCATTATCCTCCTGCCTCAGCCTCCAGAGCAATGGGATTACAGGTGTGTGCCACCGTGCCTGGTGCTAACTGGACCTCTTCATAGAAGTAGAGCATTTGCTTCTGTGTCCCCGAGGCTTAGAATGTGATCAGTGTACAGCACATGCTTGTTAAACATATGTTCAATAAAGGAAAAAATGAATTCATGCACACTGACCAGTGTTTGGCACAGGAGGAAGGTGAAGAGGAAGGAAAACAGAAATAAAGATGTAGAATGAAGAAAGCAGAAATGAGGTTCTATAAACACCAAGTGAATCTTTCTCTAAAAACCAAACAGGAAACAAAGAACACGCCTGAGAGTGATGTTACGAGGGCCCATGATGTGTAAGGTATGTGGTCACCTCTTTACTCACTTCTAAACATCGACAGCCTCCGACAGATTTCCAAAACACCTTTCAAAGCTACGAAGCCCCAAACTGGCCACCCAGGATCTAATTCTCCAGCTTCTTTCCATCTGACCTCGACTCACCAGCGTGGCTGTGACTTGGCACTTCCCTCTTTAGTATCCACGGCTCTTCTCGTTCCAACTTGCATATCAGCTCAGGTTTGGTCACACAGTGTCCTGTGATGGGAAATGACATGAGACTTGGCAATGCTGCTTAGGGTTCAGGCCCTTTGAAGGACAGAAGGGAGAAGCACATGTGACCAGTGTCTGGCCGTGTTCTATCACAGCCAGTGGCTAAGCCTCTGCCTGGGGGTGGGGGGCATCTGTCACCTGTCAGAGCTTGGGCCAGTGGCTAAGTTCCCTCCCTGCGGGGCTGCGCATCTGGTGAAAAAACCTTTTATCAGGGAAGTGAAAACAGAATATTCTTTCGAGTGTCATAGAACCAACAATCTCAGCATCAGACTTATCACCGTCTACGATAATTTGGCTCCCAAGATAGGAAGTGCATGCTGCCGGGGCTGCGTGGCAGCTGGGCTCACCCAGTGACTCCAGGTGCCTGTAGTTCTCCAGCATCACGTCCCTGTACAGACATCTCTGCGCAGGGTCCAGAAGCTGCCACTCCTTCTGGGTGAAGTCCACAGACACGTCCTCAAACAACACGGGTCCCTGCAACAGTCCAGGCCTGCTCAGTCTCAAGAACTCAGGAGCACACGACATGGGAAATACTGCTGTGTTCGTTCCACCAGGAAGAATCACAACTGTTGTCTAACCCTGCCTTCCCTCGTGTTCCAGTTTGTGGGAGAAGCAGAAATCATAACAGAAACACTGGGCCTTTACCCTTATTTATAAATTCATTGATAACTTCATAAAACAATTTGAACTTCCTCTGCATGTCTGCATCTGTTCTGGCTGCAGAAAACACTATGAAAAATGAGACACTGGTCCTGTTTTTAAGGATCTTAAGACTGATGAGAACAGTTTCTATCCACATATTCATGTGCAGTAATAAATAATATGAGATGTGGAAAAAATGTGAGGTCAATCTAGACTGAGGCCAGAAAGAGGGAGGGAAGTTAATTTTCCTTCATGAAGGAGACCAGGATTTCGGTTTTGTGTGAACATGGGCAGTAGCATAAGAAAAGGCACAGACAACGTTAAAATCATACCTGAAGTTGAGGGAATTAAAAATATCATAAAAGAAGAAGGTTAGGAACTGGGTGAGATGAAGAAATATGGAAGTATCAGTGGTCAGACAGAAATTTTGGACTTTCTCCTACAGACCAGAGATGGCCAAATTATTTAGTTATCCATCAGCAAAAATTCCTTAGCATCCTTCAGAGTATTTGGAAATTATGTATGTATGCAATTTTTAAGCCGTTCTTGTAAAGACTGACAACTTTCTTAATTTTTTTTTAGATAAAAAAACAAATACAATGGATATTCTAGTACTTTCCATGCACCACTAGACGGGGCAGTGCTGTCCTTGGGGGAAGAAGCACACTTCTTTTTGGAGATCACTTGTATGGACAATGGGGACATCTAAGTAAGTAACATGACTAGCTTTATATTTTGAAAGTATGTTCCAGAAGCATATTGAGGATTTTTAAAGAAGTGATTCTCAACTAGAGGTGACTTTGCCCCTGGCTCTGAGAAATGTCTGGAGGTCTTTTTGGCTATCAAAGCTGAGGGAGGTGAGATTGCTCCACAATTAGTGACCAGAGGCCAGAGATACTGCTAAACCCACAGTGGACAGCCCCGCCCCCCACAACAAAGAATTACATGACCCGAAATACCAGTGGCCAAGGGTAGGAAACTGTTTTCAAGAGCCGTTAGAGAGGACAATAGACTAGTGTGAGAGATGAGCGCCTCTCTTAAGGCATAAGCACGGGGTCGAGAAGCCGAAACTGATTCTACATAGAAGTCCCCAGCAATTCATTATACAATGAAGGAAAATGGACCATTACTCTCAGATGAACCATAAGAGCAGCTGAGTGGATGCTGTCGCCACATACTGTACAGACCCCAAAACAAAACAAAGCAAAAAACCTGCATTGGGCAGAAAGAGAGACAGAGAGAACTGGGGTGTGCTATACTTAAGGAATGTGTGAGACGCAGGGGATATGTCCATATAACAGCTGGACACCAGTCCCAGGCCTCAGATCTTGGATAAAAATAGGTTTTGGAAACCAGGCCTAACTCAGTGGTAGCTGAAGCCATCAGAAGATGACACTTGCTCACAAAGAATATGGACATTGAGGACACAGGGCTTGAGGGACAGCAGAGAAAGAAGAGCTAGCTCTGGAGTCCAGGAACCAGAATCAGGAGTGGCCAGCCATACCGGCCTCTTCCAGTGCAGTCCTGGTTCACGGTGATGCTCACTAAGCAGCTGATAAATGAGTACAGAGTGTCTCAGAAGAGACAAGTTCAAGAGTAAGTGACACTCCTGGGTCAACACATGGGCTGGGCTCCCCAACAGCAGAATATAGAGATAGAAAACCTCTATGGTTATCACTGCGGAGGCGTACAGGAGGGGCCATCAGCAAGGGGAAGTTTCGACAAGTTTCTGGAAGACGGAGCAGGAGGCAGGCGCGGAGGCACTGGGCTTGCCTCTTAGCACAGACACAGAATGTCTCAGATGTGTCCTCAGAGCCCAGCAAGACCTCCCACTGAGAAGCAGCAGAGGCTGGGAGTCCAGCAGGGGCCGTGGTCAGCAGGAGGATGGCCAGACACCTTGGCAGGTTACTCCCGAGGGTTAATACTCAGGAGAATGTTCCCTAGAAAAAAGCAGGAGGCTAGGGCTGGGGCTCAGTGGTAGAGCACCCGCCTGGCACGTGTGAGGCACGGGGTTCCATTCTTAGCACCACATAAAAAATAAGTAAATAAAAATAAAGTTTCATCCACAACTAAAAATATATATTTAGAAAAGAAAAGAAAAGAAAAGAAAAAGCAGGAACTGTCCCCGGGAATCTGTGAGAACTTTGCTACCAAAGAGCAAAATCGAGTACTGTGCACAGGGGCTACAGCTCTTGTTTTAGGGCAACTCTGGGGAGACAGGGCTGGGGAGGGGGTACCTGAGCTTGCCTCCTTCCCAATCTATACAGCCTGAAGGGCATGTCTGTGGACATCTCTGGACTCTTTCTGATAAGGCCTGAGGCCAATCCTGTCATTCAGAGGAAGCTGCCCTGGAAACAGCTCCCTGCTTCTGAGACACCCATCAGCCATCTGCACTGATTGAATCTGGTCTCTGCTTTCCTGTTCACCCAGAAGACAAACCAACAAAAAAGAGCCTGAACACCAGAGGAAATCAACAGCCTGGGGATCAAGCCTCCAGAAGAAAAGGCTTGACGTCCGATGGATGGATTCAATGTCAATAAAAACAACAGCCTGAGATGAATAGATTGGAAGCTGTGAAAGAAATTTAACTAGGATATTGAAGAGATGACGTTTAAACATTCACATCAGTATCTTAAAGTCAGCATAGGAGAGGGCCTTGCTTCCATAAATAAGAGAAGCTGGCTCTGAGACAAGAAAGAGCACACGGCTCTACACAGATGCTGAATATTTTGTTACTGATTTGGGGAAACGGAAAACAAAGCCCTCCAGAGAAGGCTTGGAAACAAATGAGTAAATCTCTCCACGCACACTCACAAAAACCCACAGAAAACTAGAAACGATGAGATAAAAGTGGAGGAACACAGAGAGGGGACCAGAGAGAGGCTGCAGTGGGATTTCCAGGTGGCGAGGGCAGAGAGCGATCGGGAAGGAAGCAAACACAGAGACACTGAGAACACCTCTGAGCCTCCGCGCCTCATCTTTTTTAGGACACATTCAACTGCCAGCCAGGCGGATCGCACAGAGAACAAATAAGCAGCGCTGCCCAGGGAAAAAGCCAAGGCCAGATAAGGGGGGGGGAAGGGGGAGCAAGCGAGGGGGAGGGGAGATTTTATCTACAAAGGAATGACAATCAAGCTGCCACACCACTCCTCCCCAGATGCCTAGAGATACTGCAGATTCTTTTTCTCACAATACTTTGAGGGGAAAGGATTTCAAGATGGAATCTTAAAAGTTGCTCACTCAAGGAGCAGAGCAGGGTGCAGGCGTCCTCAGGCATCCAGGCTCAGACAGCAGACCAAACAGCGAGCCGGGCAGTGCTGCACGGGCCGCCACACAAACTCAGCAGGACCCAGAAAGAGAAAAAGACACTCGACAGTTGACAATCGTGGAGAAAAGACAGTGGAGACTGGGGAGAGCTGTCTGTGAGGGGTGTGCAGACAAAGCCACATTTGTGGGTGCCAATTCCCAAGACTCTAGGACAGATGCTACAATAGTGGTGAACCCCAGGCAGGCAGGTCACACCAATTCATCAAGGGCCATTCTGAATGAGGTCATAAAATCAGCCATTGAAAACAAAGGGCGTCTGCTCCTCTGAGTGACCTGGGACTGTCAGCTCTAAGGGTCAGCAGGGAGCACCTCGGACCCCCTTTCCACCTGAGTAGGGTTGACAGATTTAGTAATAAAAACACAGGCCAATGGGTTACACTTGAACTTCAGATACACAACAAATACGTCTGTGGCATGAGTGCGTCCCCTGCTTCATTTCATGTGCCCCATGTCTTGTCTGGACATTCTGTTCCTAAGACAGCTCCATTCCAAGTTCTTGGGCAGGCTGGAATGGAAGCCCATAACTTACTCTCAAAACTGGGTGGAGAACTTGCTGTATTCTTGGGCTTGAAGAGATCTCCATCTGGCCAAACATCTAGTGATGTAGCCTTTGAACTATTTCAGCTGTAAGCTTTTGAGAATCACTTAAATTTTTACAGCCCTTATTAAAAAGTTTGTAATAAAGGTATCTGCCCAATAATGTTGTCAAAATTACATGAGTTAATCCTGGTAGAGTTAACACCTGGTAGGAATAATATCAGAATTTAGCAGTGGCTAGAATATAATATGCAGCCCTAAACTGTAGATTATATTAGAGATGATCAACTGTTATGATTTAGTCACTCTATCTGAAAACTGGGGATGGCAAAAAAATAACCAGAAGATGTATATTCAAATTTAAACTGTAGTTAGAATGTGTGATATAATCACTAACGAAATATTTAAAACATAACATTTGCTATATAAAAAGAAGAAAAGAAAGTGAAAAACAATTAGATGATTTAGACAATCTCCACAAATCTGAGATGCAGGAGGGCTGCATCTTGTTCAGGTGATATAGGTGAAAAATATTCCTGATGTTGATAGGAAAATGTGTTATATGTTTTAACACCTCAAGGGTGATCAAGAATAGCATCAAAAATGAAATGTAGACTCACAAAATGAGGAAAAAAGAAATTCAAATCACAATGCAGGGAAAAGTCAGAAAATGAAGGAAAGACAACAGAGAACAATGCAAAGTAACTCTTAGTTTTTCTGAAAACAAGAAGTAATAAGTAAACAATTCACCTGGGAGGTGTTCATTTTCTTCCCTCCTGGAAAAGTTGAGAGAAGCGTGAAGCCAGGGCTGGAGGGGAGCGAAGGAGCACAGAAATCATGAGAAATGATTTTTCGTCCCCTGGAAAGTCCCCAAAGCCTTGCTGAAAAGCTGTACATCTGCTGACAGATGGCCACATGAATACCACTGTTTCAGGAGGGGCAGGTGTCTTGCCAAGGGGCTCTTGCAACCCTGATATAACCACGTGGAGCTCAGAGAAGCAGGCATTTCACTGGGGAAA